CCAAGTCCTCGGGGCAGTTAATGTGCTTAAATGCACTACTGCCTTTTAGTGTGGAACCCACTCATCCTCACTTTGCATGAAAACAAGGGGTTTTGGGAGCAGTATTGTGCATAAATGCCACTACTGTCCTTATGTCACTATGGAACCCATCCTCACTTTGATTTTGATTGAAAACAGAGTTCCTGGTAGTTAATGTGCTTAAATTTAAATGCCAGTACTGTGCTTATGTCACTATAGAACTCCTGTATCCTCACTTTGCATTAAAGTAGAGGGTCATTATGCCACTGCTGTGCTTGTGTTAAGGTGGAACCCACTCAACCTCACTTTGCATTAAAACAGAGCATCTTTGGGGCAGTTGATGTACTTAAATGCAACTACTGTGCTTATGTCACTCTAGAACCCATAGCCTCACTTTGCATTAGAACAGGGTCCTTGGGGCAGTTATTGTGTTTAAATGCCACACCTGTCCTTAGGTTAATATGGAACCCACCCATCCTCACTCTGCATTAAAACAGGGTCTTTGGGGCAGTTAATGTGCTTAAATTGCACTGCTGTCTTTATGTTGCTATAGAACCTATTCTCACTTTGACTTGGATTTAAAACCGAGTCCTTGGGGCAGTTAATGTGCTTAAATGCACTACTGCCTTTTAGTGTGGAATCCACTCATCCTCACTTTGCATTGAAACAAGGGGTTTTGGGAGCAGTTATTGTGCATAAATGCCACTACTGTCCTTATGTCACTATGGAACCCATACTCACTTTGATTTTGATTGAAAACAGAGTTCTTGGTAGTTAATGTGCTTAAATTTAAATGCCAGTACTGTGGTTATGTCACTATAGAACTCACTTTGCATTAAAGTAGAGGGTCATTATGCCACTGCTGTGCTTGTGTTAAGGTGGAACCCACTCATCCTCACTTTGCATTAAAACAGAGGTTCCTTGGTACAGTTAATATGCTTAAATGCCACTACTGTCCTTATCTTACTTTTGCACCCCACCCATCCTCGCTTTGAATTAAAACAGAAGTTTCTTGGGGGCAGTTAATGTGCTTAAATGCAACCACTGTGCTGTGTCACTATAGGACCCATCTATCCTCACTTTGCATTAAAGCAGAGGGTCTTTGGGGCAGTTGCTGTACTTAAATGCAACTACTGCGCTTATATCACTCTAGAACCCATAGCCTCACTTTGCATTAAAACAGGGTCCTTGGGGCAGTTAATGTGTTTAAATGCCACAGCTGTCCTTAGGTTCATATGGAACCCACCCATCCTCACTCTGCATTAAAACAGGGTCCTTGGGGCAGTTAGTTAATGTGTTTAAATGCCACAGCTGTCCTTAGGTTCATATGGAACCCACCCATCCTCACTCTGCATTAAAACAGGGTCCTTGGGGCAGTTAATGTGCTTAAATTGCACTGCCATCCTTATGTTACTATAGAACCTATTCTTACTTTGATTTTTATTTAAAACTGAGCCTTTGGGGCAGTTAATGTGCTTAAATGCACTACTGCCTTTTGTGTGGAACCCACCCATACTCACATTGCATTAAAACAGGGTCCTTGAGGCAGTTAATGTGCTTAAATTGCAGTGCCATCCTTATGTTACTATAGAACCTATTCTCCCTTTGACTTGGATTTAAAACAGAGTCCTTGGGGCAATTAATGTGCTAAATGCACTACTGCCTTTTTGTGTGGAACCCACTCATCCTCACTTTGCATTAAAATAAGGGGTTTTTGGAGCAGTTAATGTGATAAATGCCACTACTGTCCTTATGTCACTATGCAACCTATACTCACTTTGATTTTGATTTAAAACAGAGTTCTTGGTAATTATTGTGCTTAAATTTAAATGCCAGTACTGTGCTTATGTCAGTATAGAATCCATGTATCCTGACTTTGCATTAAAGTAGAGGGTCCTTACTCCACCTCTGTTCTTATGTTAAGGTGGAACCCACCCATCCTCACTTTGTATTAAAACAGTCTCTGGGGCAGTTAATATGTTTAAATGCCACAGCTGTCCTTAGGTAATATGGAACCCACTCATCCTCACTTTTCATTGAAACAGGGGGTCTTTGGGGCAATTAATGTGCTTAAATGCCACTAGTGTCCTTATGTCACTCATAGAACCCATAATTACTTTGATTTAAAACGGAGTCCTTGGACAGTTAATGTGCTTCAATGCCACTACTGCCTTAAAGTTAAGGTGGATCCCATCCATCCTAACTGCATTAAAGAAGAAGGTCTTTGGGGAAGTTAATGTGTTTAAATTATGACACTACTGCCTTTTAGTGTGAAACCCACCCATCCTCACTTTGCATTAAAACAATCCTTGGGGCATGTGATGTGCTTAAATGCCAGCACTGTCTTTATCTTACTTTGCAACTCACCCATCCTCTCTATGAATTAAAACAGGGTTCTAAGGGGAAAAAAAAAACACAGAGGGTCCTTGGGGCAGTTAGTGTGCTTAAATGCCACTATGGAACCCATCTATCCTCACTTTGTATTAAAACTGAAGGACCTTGAAACTGTTACTCTGGTAACTTTTATCCTCCCATTCCTCTGCTTTGCCTGAGAGTAGATCTGTTATTGAAATGTGCTTATTTGGTTGCTGTGGCACCTTCTTTTTGTCTCTTTCCATTTCCTCCCACTCCCTTTGCAGTATAGCAGAGGGTACTTAGGCCTGTTAATGGGCTGAATTATAGGATTCCCATGCACTCCTAGGCAGTTTGCATTTACTAGACATATATTTGGTTCTGTGAAGTTGCCTAATTGCAGCAGTGGTCCTTTTTGTCTAGGTTCCCAATCCACCTTGTAGCCCTTTTACAATACCTGGATGGGCATTTGGCACTGTCAGTGTGCTCAATTGAAGTTGTGGTCCCTTCTGTAATTCCAGGATCACATCCTGCCTTTTCCCTTTTCATTACCTAGGAGCGTTTGGGGACTGTTAAAAGCCCTTGGGGCTACTGTCCCTTCTACTTGTCTAAGATCCATCCCTCCCTCCCCCATCTCACTTGGCATTACAACAGTGACTGTTGTGCTTAATGTGCTTAAAGGCAGCTATAGTCCCTTTCCTTAGGCTGGGATCCATCCAGGCCCTTAAACATCTTTTGCATTACCATAGAAAGTACTTGGGACTGTAAGTGTGGTTAAATGCAATTGTGGTCCCTTTTGTTAATTTAGGAACATGACTTTTCAGTTTCTTTATATCATCTGGAAGTCATTGTAGATAAAGTTCTAATTGTAGCTGTGGTCCCTTTTGTCAATCTAAGATTCCTTTTTCTCCTGCTTCATTTGCATTACAACATAGGGTTCTTGGAACTATAAAGGGGCGTCTTGTCCTGTCACATATATTAAATTTTACAAAAGAGGATCTGAACACCAAAACCCCTTCTTTTGTACTGTTAATGTGGAATATTGCTTTTATCCTTTCTCCTCTGCAGTAGATATAGGCCTCACTCATTTTCCTTATATTCAGCAGTTGATGCCCTTTACTAAGGACCTTTGTACTTAATATAGTTAAAAGTGAGTCATAGTAGTTGACCACAATTATGTCTTTTATGAAAGTGGTTGACCTTCTTCATTTTACAAGAAGGTGTATTAATTACCTGTTACTTGCCTTATGTTAGAATAGCATCCCATTTCATTGCCCCATTTATATTATTGCAAGGGCTTCTGACTAGCCAAGATTCACTCTCCTGGACTGTTAATGTGCATACTTACATTTGCTCCTGTACCTGTACACCAGGTAATGCCACTTCCCCATCATATTTATACTCTAGCAGGAGGTGCCTACTACTGAAGACCTTACACATTTATGCAGTTAATGTACACAACTTTTATCTTGTACACACTCTCAGTAGTCCATAACTGTGCCTTTTCAACCTCTTGTACTTATGGAAGCAGAGGTTACTGACCTTAAAGCCCTCTCTTGGGACTATGGATATGTTTAATTAGTTGTCCATAATCTTTCGAATTAAGATGGGTTCCTGACTCTTCACACCCTCTTTGCTTTACTGCGTGGGGTACTGTCCACTTAAGGCCCCTTTCTCAAACTGTTAATGTGTATAATAATTACATTAGAATCCTTCCTCTGATTTCAATCTCTTTAAAATACCAGAGGGATTCTGACTCTGAAGGACCCATTTCTTAGCTCGTTAATGTGAATGTGCTTGTCTGGGTTTCTGTGTACTAGACAATGACACCTCCTCTCCCTATTCCCTTTCAGCATTGAGTGCCCTCTGCACAAGACTGTTAACACTTGGACAGTCAAGGTGTGAAATTATAGTTGATTACAACCTTACACCTGGGACATTAATGTGTGTAATTTCACATGGCTCATCTCATTTGAATAAGATCCTATATCCTCTCAGACCCTTATTATAGTATAGCAAGGGTACTGATCACATGAAAAGGTATCTTTTCATGGCTTATTGTGCATAATTGCATTTGTACATGCTCTTGTACACCAGATAAGGACACCCCTCTCCTTATTCCCTTAGCCTTTTAGCAAGGAGTGCCCACTACTTTAAGATTTTTATATTGGTACAAGGTACAAGGTTTTAATTAACTATACCATATCCCTTGGACATTAATGTACATAATTTCAACTTGGTTCATCCTACCTATTGCTCTCCGTTGACAGTATACCATAGTTGCTGAACCCTAAATCCCCTTTACTTGGCCTATTAATGTGCGTAATTGCATTTGTCTGGGTTCTTGTTCACTAGACTAGGACACTGACACACAACATACCCCCAACCTCCTTTGCCTTCTAGTAGGTAGCACCTACTATTGAGACCTTTGCATTTGGACAGTTAATGTGCAGAATTGCTGTTTTCCATATCCCTATCACTTCCAGGACTATTGTACCTCTTTTGCACTATTGCAGGGGATACTATTTTTTTCTCCAAGGCCCCTTCTAGTGGACTGGTACTATACATATTGAAATTGTCTGTTGTCTTTATTAGTAGGCACCTCCCCCTCCCCCGCCCCGCCCCCCGCCCCCCCAACTTCCCTTTGCAGTACAGCAGAGTGCTGATCAACCAAAGCCCTCATTGGACCTTTAATATCTGCAGTTACATTTTCTCCTGTTCTCTGCACTAGATAAGCGCATCACCTACTTCCTTAGCATTTGCATCAGACAGTGCCCACTATTCAAAAGATTTGTTCACTTGGAAGTTTCATGTGCACAAATGTAATTTTGTAAGTAAATCTTATATCAGAATGACTGTACCCTCCTTGCTTTAGAGCAAGGAGATGCTATTCAATGGGCCCCTCCCTCCTTTTCACTTTAATGTGCATAATTGCAATTGTCCTTGCTTCTGTTGGAGTAGGATTGCATCTCCTCATTCCCCCCTTTGTATTAGGGGCATGTTAACTATGAATGAGCTCTTCTATTGAGATTATTAATGTGCATAATTAATTGTATTTGTCTGTGGGCCTATGCAGTAGGAAAGGTGCTGTGTGCTCTATGCCCTTACCACTGCCTTTGAATTATTGCTGACCTCAGCTCTCGAACATTTATCCAAAATTGTAATTATTATACAGGACCCCATGCTTTCTTTGTATACATCATGTATGACCCCTTCTGTTGGAATAGGATACCATTCCATTATATCCCCTATGCATTACTGCAGGGGCTGCTGACCACACAAAACTTCTGCAAATGTTAATAGACACAATGGCAATTAGCAATGGGTTTGTCCTCCCTGATCTTACTAGGCAAGCACTCCCAGCCCCAATTTCTCATGGCATCATAAAGTGTAAACATTGCAGTATGCCCTTAACTTGTCCTTAAAAGAGCAACCCATACGCCCACTCCTTTTGCAATGCTCCAGGGCATACACTTCCAAGTAGTCATGGTCCTACCCTTATCTTCCCTCTCCCTACCTCTTGCCTGTCCTTGGACCCTTCGGTGGACCATTAATAATCACAATTTCAGTTGTCCATATATCCAGCCATTAGATAATATTGTGATCCCTCCTGCCCCTGCCCCTGCTCTGCCCCACCCCGCCCCACCTCATCCCGCCCTTTTGAATTGCTGGTGGGGAATGTTGACTGGGCAAGGCGCCCTTTCACTTGGGCTTAAATGTTAACAATCCCAGATGTCATTGGTTTACCCAATTTATATTGCTGTGGTGCTTCAGTTGCTCATCTGACATGGACCCTCCATTTCCCTTTTTGCATTGCTTTTCAGTAATGCTGACTACCCAAAGGCCCTTCTGTGTTTTTACTCAACACAGTACTGATTGTCCCATTTTCCAACCCATCAGCTCAAGACATCCCTACCACTTTGATGTTGTGTTTGTTTGTGCAGTGTTGTTTACCAAAAGCAGGCCTGAACTAGGTGGATGGGCCTTCACTCCTTTTCTTGCATTTGTTAATAATCTGAATTCCAATTACTGTCCTATTCTTAGGACAGGAGTTATCTCTGCCCACCTCTGTTACTGCTTTACTGGGCAAAATGCTCAAGGCAAGGCAAGCCCAAGGAGCTGGATTGCCACCCTTTACATTCTGGATTTTTAACACACACACACATATATATATATATCAGTTGAAAGTTGTCTACCCAGGAAGGAAGGTTAACACTATCTCTGCATTTTTCCTTCCGAAGCAGGTTGCCTGGCTGAGAATCTCTCCTCTTTGTATATTGCTATTCTACAGAGTCAATTGCCAGGATACAACCAAAAGTTATCGCTATTTTTTATTAAGAAAGACATCTGGATTGCAAGGTGGAATTGATGAACTGGGCATTAAACTTTTGAAGTTAAAAACCCATTTATACCATGTACCTGATGACCAGTGTCTCTCATTTTACTAAGGGTGGTGGGTCTGTGGATAGACCACTGTGACTCTTGCTATACCACCATTCTAAAACCATGCCATTTGGGTTTAACCACCATTCTCTTTTAGAAAAACTACTTAAATTTCCTAATCCTTAAATTTCTTCATCTGGAACACCAACCAGCCCCTACTTATTTCAAGAAGATAATAACTGTAAAAGGATGAAATGAGACAACATATACTGAGGTGCTTTTGAAAACCAAAGTTCACCTTATTTGATTAATCTATTACATAATGAGGACTTAAAAATGATGGGACCTGTTTCCCTGTTTTATATCAAAAGAATAGTAAACTAAGATCTAGCCATTCTTCCGGATATAAACTTGTTTGACAGTGCGCTGCCTGGTAAAAATGATTAGCCTAGCCTCTACTGTACAGGTTTTGGTGGCAGAGAAATATTTAATAAAGAGCTACTGAAGCAAATAACTAATCATCACAACAGCAGTTCTTTGTAATCACTGAAAAAGAATACTATTCCTCTAAGAAGGATGTCAAAAGGTCATCCCAGGTCAGGGTGCAGTTTATACTTCTAGCTCCTTGGACAGCTGTAAGAAGAGTCTCTGGCTCTTTAGAATTCTGTAAGTACTATTTTGTAGTTACTAAGTAATCTTTCCCCTGTTCTGTTTTCTCTTAGATACTACCCAGAGGTTTCCTGTTAAGTCTCTTTACCAATTCTCGCCTCATCTATAAATGTAGTCTCACCATATGAGTGAACCAACAGAATTATAAGAATTAATATTGTGTACCTGGTCCTATGCTAGGTTACACCTAAGTGAGGGTTAGAAATAATATAGTTCTATATATATAATCTCATCCCATAGATGGTAGTATTGTTGAGCTAATATAAGCACACTTGAAATAATTTTAGGAAATGATAATCAAGTGCTATCTTGTATGAATTATGTTAAGCTTTTGTAAAAGGAGCTCACCAGGGTTTGAAGTTGACAGGGTAAATTTAAAGAAGAAGTTGGGTTTACTTCTTCTCTTTGGTTCAGGATATGATTAATATTGCAGCCATCTGGGTAGTCCAGTTGGTTTATTTAATGCCATTTGGTTTTTACTTCTTTTGGAGGCATGGAAATTGATTAAAGAGATAGGCTTAGTCATTGTGTTTGGCTACATGCCAAATTGTTGATTGTTAAATCTCATAAGTTTGAGCTTTTCAAGGTTTGGGAATTGGGGATATAAATATGATATATTGGCTCTTTGTACCTTTTTATTCTATCTCTGCCCCAGAACAGATGAGAGTAGCAATGATGCCTTTTTAGTTTGGCAAGAGGGCAATGGAGAAGCATAACTTTTATAAGAAAGCCATGACCTTGCCTACTTTATGATGAAGTTAATATACCTTCTTCCTCTTTGACTTTTTCAACAGGTACCTTGATAAGCAAAAAAGCTTAGCCTCCCTGATATAAAACAAACAAACATGCAGCTGAAAAATATTAACATCAACTTTGAAACATTTTTTGTTCATATCAATATATCCTAGCAAGAACAAGAAGAATCATAATGTGCTGGGCTTCTCTTACTGCCCATTTTAATTCATATCCATATTTCCTCACAGCTAAATGCCTAAAGACATTATTTGTCTGACTGACTGGGAGTAATATATAAATATTCCTGAGCCTTTTTGGAAGCATGGTCTGTGTCATTGTTTCTCAAACTGAAGTTCCACAGGAACAAAATTCTTTGAGATAATAAAGAACATGTGTTTTGAGGAACACTGACTTAACAAAGTTATTTGAAATGTAAACATGTTTTCCTAGTTCAATATACCTTTGTGAAAGATATATATATATATATATATATATATATATATATATATATATATATATATAATGTTTTATATGATTTATGTAGTGGGGGATCCATGAGGTCCACAAACCTCCAGTGTTATTATCACCCCAATATGAGAAACACTGGTCTATGCTTATGATATTTTTTATTGCTACTAATCAAATGATCATTCAGTGTTAATATATAACTATAACTATTTATTGGAATTTGTTTTAAAGGGATGAATTCTGAGCCAGTTCTGAACCCCTACTTAGGAATGATGGGTCAATTGTAGGTGGATTGAAGTCTGCACTAGAAAGCATCCAAAGGTGAATTTTGAAGTTGTTTTTCAATTCATTGCTTGAAATAAAATCTCTAGTAGCTGTAAAAACAGGTATTCTGGCCCTATCCAGTTTATCTCAGTGGATAAAGCATCAGCACTTGGACTAAGGGGGTCTCGGGTTTGATTCTGGTCAAAGGCATGTATGTACCTTGGCTGCAGGCTCAATCCCTGGACTGCAAATGGCAGTTGGGGTGCATGAAGGAGGCAACCAATCTATGTGTCTCCCACATTGATCTGGAGAGACCAGAAAATTTGTTTCCTTTTAGGTATTTTAACTAGACAATATAAATGGATTTGGGCTTGGATTCATTTTAAAAGTTCTTCGGGGAAAAATTGTTTCCGGATGGAGTGTCTATTTAGCGTTATTAATGGGGTTTCAGGAGGGAGCACAGTAAATATGTATAATGTATAACTGGACACCTGTATTTGGGGATGAAGTATCTAATCTTATGTTAAGTAAGGATGGGAAAGGATTTTCAAAAAGATTTTGAAGCTTGTTCTGTTCATGTTGAGAACATAGTCTATATTCTGTTCATCATAGAGTATCAGTTTAGATTTACTGGACATTTTATCTAGAGAATATAGAGTTGAGTAAGTGATCTTTCACTTACTATTAGAATTTGTTTGATGTTGATAGAAAGTTCCTTATAAATATATGGCAATTCCTGATTAGAAATCTGGAAGTCGTATCTGATTCTTTCCACACCATACCACACTATGCAAAGTACTTTCAAGATTGCAAACCTGGCTTATACCTGCCCCAGTGAGCTCCTATCTTATAGTAAAGACAGCTAACTAAATATTAAAAATAGTCAAGGCAATTGTACCTCCAGGCAATAGTAGCAGTTTCTCTGTTACATTGCATCTTGAAGTATTTTCAGCAAGAGCATGACCTGTAAACCACAAATTTAGTCACCCACAGGTGGGTATTGGTTTGACCCATATTTTCATTTAGTTCTTTTTTTTACACTTGCCTAACCTTCAGTGATACTACCAGTGCTTGCCATTAATAGGACCTTAGGGAGACTGTACAGGAGAGACAGGACACACTTGTATCTAATGATTCGGGTTCATGCTTCCTAGGTTTTTTTCTATGTTGTTGAGACTTTCTCAACCTTTTTTGGTATCCTATCCTATCCTACTGAGGCCTTTTTTTTTTTTTTTTTCAAGGACATTCTGGATAGGTGAGACCTGAGGACTACAAGAAACTCTAAGAAGCTCCATATTAAGTACATCTTTTCTTTTGAGAATCTGGACAAGCTCCAACTAATTGAAGGATGGCTTGCAGACCACCTGAAGAAAAAGGTAGTTTGAGAAGTTTGTTGTGGTTATTCTGTCTTTGGCTTTAAGGACTTTAACTTCCTGCAAGAGCTCCTTTTTAAAACAGAATAAGAGCCAGTTTCAAATCCTACAGATTATATATATATACACATTTTGACTTTACAGAATGAATTTGGCGTATTATTTCATCTGCCCTTCCGAAGTAGGCTCCAGTGAGATCTATAACAGCAAGCATACTTGGTCCCCATTTTATAAATAAAGAATTAGAGATGCAAAGCAATAAATTGCTTCATTAAAAATCTCATAGCTACTTAGGAGAGAGAGAACAATCCTATGCCTTCTGATGAACAGGCCTCAAAAATTATTTCTACTTTCTTTTGGCAGATGGTACTAAGTGCTAAGGATTTGTTAATGAGTAGTACCAACGTGATCTGTCATAGCCCTATTTTGGCAGACCTAATTTCATTGTCCCTCTCATTGCCTTATTATTTTAAGAAATTGAGGGTTTATTACTTGAAATTACTAAAAAGTAGAATAAGAGACTCAAGGTCCTGTGTTAAGCTATTTACCAGATTCCTAGCCTTCTCCACCTTGTTTTTCCTTTTGTGTAATTTCCTTAGTTGTCATAACAACTAAATATATATATCGATTTCAGAGAGGAAAGGAGAGGGAGAGAGAAATAGAACATCAATGATGAGAATCATTGATTGGTTGCCTCCTGTATGCCCCCTACTGAGGATTGAGCCCTCAACTTGGGCATATGCCCGTGACCTCCTGGTTGATTGGTTGACGCTCAACCACTGAGCCACACCAGCACAATTGACGTTTTATATCACTGTAATGATTATTGGTTTCTCTGAATATCCTGAGACTCTGGTGGTGTCCCATCTATGTAAGCTGTTCAAGAAATGTCCGGTGTAGATTGAGTAGAAAACAATTGTTTCCATTGGTAGTGCTCCAGCATCTGACTAAAATGAATTAAAAGAGAGGAATCCTGCCCAACCAGCATGACTCAGTGGTTGAGTATCGATCTATATTGATTTCAGAGAGGAAGGAAGAGGGAGAGAGAGATAGAAACATCAACGATGAAAGAGAATCATTGATTGACTGCCTCCTTCACATCCCCTACTGGGGATTGAGCCCACAACCGGGAATGTGCCCTTTACTGGGATCGAACCTGGGACCCTTCAGTTTGCAGACTGATGCTCTATCCACTGAGTCAAACTGGCTAGGGCTAAAACTATATTTTAAAAGAGAAGAATCCTACAAACTAAGTGAGAGAGACACTTTGCGGTAAATTGTTCAGTTATTAAAAGAGTGCTTTATAAAAGAAGCCTGAGGGAATATGAAGAAGAGTTCTTATAGAACTCATAGGATCAGACAATATTGGAGCTTTTCTAAGTAGCTTGATAGCTCTTTTGGTTGAGAAAGCTTTATCCGTTCCTTCTATTTTCAACCCCTTGATTTTTTTTGTCCTTTCACTTTATTTTATGGTGAGAACACTAGAACATTAATAATCCACAATACAGAAGACTGCTCATTAGTAGAGACTGGAGAATAAAGTACAGTATGGGAATTTTGGTAATAATTCATCTCTAAATTCCTCTTTGTGATGAGGTGAAATTCAAGGGAAAAGCTGGAATGAGTAGTAGAAGCATTTGCTTTTCTCTAGGCTGGTAGCTAGAATATAGAGCTCTCCACAGTTCTTAATCTCCACCTCTCAATTCACATGGAAAAAAAGGGTAGGCATCACTTAATCTAATTATTAGTTGTTCTTTGAGACAGACTTTCCCAGTATACTGCATTTCAGTAATTTATTTTTCTTTTATCTCTTCTCCAGACCTTCCTTAGAAGAATAGGCTTGTTGCTTTGCAGTGTTAGTGACCTATTCCCTTTGACGATCCCTAGGTGGAGATGGGGCATGAGGATCCTCCAGGGGAATAGCTCACTACCACTGGGCAACAACCCTAGGCCAGGAGGTTCTACCAAGATTTTTTCCTGGGCCCAGATAGGAAGGTGAAGTCTCAAGACATCCTCCACACATCAGAGGTGGGTAAGCTGTTCCTAAAAGCACAATAAGGATACTGTCTTTAATGTTTCAGTATACATTGCATTTAGATTTCCACTGAAATTATTTTGATCATTATGAACTGTGTCTGCTTTGGTAAAAATAGCTTCCTAACTCACCTGGGAAGCAACTGTGTATGAGATGGGTGAAAATGGTGATGTGAGACAGGCTGATTGATTAGGTGGCTGCAGGTTGGGAGATGGTCCAAGTGTAGTAAGTCCTGATTGTAAAGGACAAGACATTTTCCTGTTTATGGCATAGTTTCCCATTCTATGAGGAAGTTGTATTAGTTTTACCTCTAAGGACCTAAACTTTATACATTTCTAAGCTCTGTAGAGATAGTTTCTATAACTCATAATTTGAATCTTCCCATAACTCTAGTGAGTACTCAGTTAATACTTCTTTATGCATATATACAGTTTCCTTTGTTATTTTCCCCCTCTTTTTTGTAGCTCCTGATTGTTCCCTTTATATCTACCAAATCGTTCATCCTCTGAAAAGCAATCCAGAGAGCAAGAAATTTGAACACAACAAAGGAAGATCAACATGCCTGGCACTCTAGCATTTTAGAATAGCAGAATAAAGTAAGTTGTTGGTGTTGTAATCATGTGAGGACCTGTTTGGAGCTAATAGCTGTTTGTCGGAGGTTTTTGTGCAATGGGCTATGGTGGTTTTTGTGCAGGAGGGGCCTGAATGTGAGATGGGATAATGACCAGTAACCTGCAAAGGCATACCCCAGAGATAATACAATTTGGTTTCAGACAACCACAATACAGCAATAAAATGAGTTGTTAGCTTGTTGCTGGTAGAGGATGTTGTAAAAAATGCAACATCTGTGAAGCACTGTAAAGCCAAGTGCAATAAAATGAGGTAAGTTATGCCTGTATTGCCAACTGGGTTCATTGAAGCAACTTAATGATTAATTAGTCTATACCAGTTGTGTTAAGGTTAGTCTCACCTTATCTGTTCTTTATCTTTACTGCATAAATTCTTTGCCACTCTTAGAGGCCTAAACATATAGAAACTTAAAACAAAATTTTTGTTTTGTTGCTGAAAGGGTGGCCCCTTTTCTTATATCATCTTGTGAGAGAATGTATTTGCAGTAGTGTTGAAGGAAAAGCAAGTGTTAATAATTGTGATGGGTGGGAAAATCAAGTTAGTTTTCTAAAGGGGTAGGAAAGGATGAAGATAAAAAATGAGGGCATTGACTAGGACCTCTTAATGGCCCTTTATATTAATATTCACTCATCTGTGGCATCTCATTTGGCTTTTGGAATTTCTTATAAACAGTTGTAGTAGAATATTAAAAAGGCACACATTCTGTGTTTAAATCCTCTGCCACTCATGTTGTTGTTATTATAATTGTTAATAGTGATATAAGTAGTATTGGTACTAATCATAGCTTATTGTAGTTATTAATGTTCTTTTTTTGTTTTCTTTTGTTCTCTTTGTGATGTTTCTCATAGTTGTTGTGCCCCTCACTATATCTTGTCTCTTCTACTTCTAAAAGTCTGTCTTGCCTTATCACTTTCACTCATAAGTGTGTATTTCTTTGCTTATCTATTTTTTCCTTGAATGTCTTTGGTCTTTGTTCTCTCAAGTTTCTTACCCAATTCCATGATCCTCTTGCTTGTTTCTTCTCTGTGTATCTTTGTTTCATTTTCTTTTTTGTTCATAAGAGTTATTTGTGCCTTGTCTTAGATGGCTCTCGTTTTTTCATTTGTTACTAATTGTCTTTGTTTTCCTAGCTCTTGCTCTTCTTTCACTGTTCTTCCCATTGTGTCTCTGAGTCTCATGCTTTTTGCTCATTCCTTGTCTTGTCCACCTCTTTTTTTCCTCTTTGTGAACTCTTGATTGTTCATCATTCTCTCCCATTTTGTTAGTTTGACATTTTACCTTTTTCTGATTCTGGCTTCCTTTCTGCTGTTTCTACTCTTCATCTTGGGTTTCTCTCTTCTACATGTCCTTTCTGCCTCTCTTGGGCCATTTTCTTTCCTTTTTCCTGCTCTATGTGCCTCAGTGTCTCTTTGTTCTTTGTGTCTTTCTATTTCACCTTTCTTCTCTCTGTTCTCTTGTTCTTTTGCTTTTTTCCCTCCACCCACCTTTGGGTACTTCAGCCTCTTCATGAGTCTGTGTCTTCCCCTTTGATTTCTTGCAATCCTCTCTCCATGCATATTTTTTTGTATATGTGTATGTGTACATCCATGTGGGCATGTTTGTGACAAAGGGGTTTCCTAACCCCTTACAATAGGTGCAGAGTATCTACTATCAAAATAAGCATTGCAGAGATGTTCCTTATGCCAGGCCGTCCTGTGAGATAAATCCAAAACTAGTAGAAGGCCCAAGGATCCAAAGACCTAAGATGTACAGAAGGTGGAAGGCCCCTAATGGATATAATTCCCAACACAGAAGACAGAATTGAGACCTGTGGACTAAAGTATAAAACCTGTGTCCCAAGATAGATGGAAACCTCAGCCTTGAGACCATCAGAAGCTCTAGAGCCATTATGTACATAAAGAAGGTGGCCCTTGTCGGATAACTGAGTTGGATGCAAGTCTTGTGTCTTGAGTTAGACAAAAGGCTGAAGACCCAGGATGAAAGAACCAAGCCTATGAGTGGGGATACATGGAAAGCCTGAGACCTGAGTCACAAAACCTGAGATAAAAAAAAAAAACTTAGCTTGAAGACTTAAGACCCAAGGATATGAGGTGTCACACACACATAAAGACCCAGGAGTCAAGTATCTCTATGTGGACTTGAAAGCCCAAGAGGGACTGATATCTTAAGACTAAATTAAGCTGGAGTTCCATGACCCTAAATCTAGGAAGGCTGGAAACCCCAAGACCAGAGGAAGTCCCAATATGAGGACCCTAAACCTCTATTCTGCTATCCTCCCTACCCTTGGATATTTTCAGTTCTTCCTTTCCAGTTTTTATATCTCCATTTAAGCCCACTAATTTTGTGATATCCTTTTTGATGTTGTTATTATCTTGAGATTGGCAATATTATGCCTGGGCCAGTGTAAGGTTCTTTTTATTATAGTTTTGAGTCATTTATTAAGTTTTAGGTATTTTTTTAAACTTTATTTTTTTCACCTCCACTCATTTGAGAGAGACATATCAGTGAAATTGTATTTCAGTCCCCCCTTTTCCTCAGAAGCTCTAGGCTAATGAGAAGAGGAAAGTGTCAGGCTATGTAGAGAAAATGTGAAGAGATGCCTCAGGCCAATGTGAACATTTAGATAGAAAATACACAGATGTGCCAGCCTGCTGAGAAGGATCAGCCAGTAACATGATTTCTTTGAGCTTGAGTGAACAGGATTCCTGGGGTTTGGGATTCCTAGTGATGGTTAGAAAAAAGAATGAGTAGTCCTGGAACAGAGTGATGTCCCAAGGAGACAGCCTGAACTCCCTGCTCATAGTAGTGGCCTAATAATTTGGTAGACTACACCAACCCTGCCCTAGGCTTTAATATCAACCTCTGGGCTTAAAGATGACAGAATTTGGAAGTAATCAGGTTTAAATCTCCTTTTTCTCCCCCTTATCATGAGGAAAGATAATTTAAATAACTGAGATATATATGAAAATAAGGTGTTTTCATTAATAGTGTATTGCCAGCTATGCACAGCTAATATGTATTATAAGTACACTGTCAGTTTTGAAGCGTTTTGTACATCAGGGATCATCACACTCTTTCTGTAAAGGGGAAAAGGTAAATATTTTAGTCTTTGCAGGCCTATGGTCTCTACATTTCACTTCCCCCTACCGCCAGTCCTTTAAAAAGGAAAACTATTCTTATCATGTTAACCAAGTAGATTTGGTCTGTGGGCCATAGTTACCCCTGATGTAAATGCTGAATAATATTAATTTCCTTGTGTGAGCCTGTCCCTGTTCTAGGCACTAAGGACTCAATGATTATCATCACATCCAGGTGGCCCAAATAAAAATGTGTGAATATGCTTTTAAACTATGAAAGTGCTTAAAGATGTATTAAGTTTCAGAGCTGATAAATATTGATTACATATCAACAGTATGTAATACTATGTAGATATTAGGAATTAAGTGATTAATCAATGAAAATTTCATATATTTGTAGCTGTGTTGCTGCTGCTTTGGTGATTTTGAGTAAATACAGTATTCCAAGTAGCAGAAAAGAAAACACATAGAAACTGCTTTTAAACTGTAAAATATACAGCAAACACAAGGGATTAAGCTATTTTGATGACTTACAATGGGCCAGATAACTTGCTAAACACTAATAACAGAAAGAAACAATCTCAATATAGAATTAAAATTTTCAGATAAGAAATGCATTTTAAAGTGGTTTGTAAACTAAAGCACTAAATATCAATGAGCTAAATGTTATGAATGAATGAATGAATGAATATTAACTGCCTTTTATGTGACAACTATTGTTTTGGGTTCTGTGAAATCTAAGGTAAAACTCCCAAGTAATAAGATGGAGGTTTATATTGTGCATTATTTATATGTAAGGAAATTAGATAATGCTTATTTTAATCAATCAAGACTTTACTGATAATATCAAGTTATTATTACCAGTATATTTTTCCAGATAACAGGAAAATGTAATGAATGAGACTGAGCTTTCTAAACTATAAAGTGCTATATAAATATGACATTAGGTATTTTCTCTGTGAATAAAATTTTTCATGAGATAAACATTCTTTATAAAATTCACCCACTATGAGAGCGGTAGTATAAATAGTTATGCAAACTTGAGGGTTTGAATACTTGTTAAATGAAAGCATATCAGTTGCCTACTATGTGAACTCACTGTTACAGGCACTAAAGAGATACACACATTTATAATTTTATTGTGCCTACAATTGAGAATAAGGCAATACATATGTTAGTGTTTTGTGAACTCTAAAGCACCATATAAATGTCACTATTAATTTTTCTCACTTGGTGCAAAGTACTATAAAAAGTTGGAAATATTTAAAGTATTAACTATTGAACAATCTGAATATAATATGTAAAAGATTAAATTTATGATGAATGCAAGACTGGGTAATAATTGTCTACTATGCCAGTCTTTTTGCTAGGCACCAAGGACCTGAAGATAAAACATCTTTATTGTGTCCTTGATAGCCGAACATAATGTCTGAAGTCAATTTATAAGTCTTGAACTGCCATAGATATGTAAGCAATATCTGTTTTATGAATATTGATTTTTTATTCTCATCCCCAGAGATAACAACTAGTGATGCAAAAATTCATCACCCTCATTATTGAATCTGTAACAGAGGTCTATGTGTAAATTTAGAAAACCTAGTGTTCTATATAGGTATAAGGAATTAACTGTTGGCTTAATGAATGATGAATGATTACTTTTTATGAGGCTTAAAACTACATATGCCCTAGTATATAAATACGATTTTATCCTCATGGGATGCTTATAGAAGGAAATAATGTAATAGGTGTGAGCTCCAGACTAAAAAGTACTTAACTACTGCTAGGCTTATTTAATGATAAAAACATTGAGAAAATAGAACTGTGCAAAACAGTATGCTAAATGCTGAGCTACATGGAAAGATACAATCCAGACCAAAAAGCTCCTTGCTCCCTCGCCTAATTAAAGAGATGGAAATTTTTTTTTTTTTTTTTTAAAAGCAAGCTGCTCTTGTTCTCCATCAGTTTTTTAAATGCTGAATGCTAAAGATGGAGGTGAATTAGCTCCACCTTGGCCTGGCTTAAAGATATTTAAGAAGTAAAAATAAATGGCTCAGCAGTGCTTTTAGATTTCATTTGATAAGCACAGCATATTTTGTGTGCAATAAATCATTCTAGGTCCTGAGCATAAGAGCAGTGAAATGGGCCTAGTCTAAAGGTCTTTAGATTGAACACAGATCATAGCTGCAGATATGAAAATATCTTTGATTTTTTAGTAAATATTTGAGTGCCTATTTTCTGGGAAGTATTATGCTCATTTAATGAGTTGAGTAGGTATGGCTCAGAAATCCCATTGACTCGCCTTGGAGATTAAAGAAAAAAAAGTCATGGTCCTTTTAATATATTTTCCCTAGTTCTGGATAGTCTCAACTTCACATGCTCAGTGACCTAAATTGAAGCCAGAAGACTGTTAAAAGGGCTCAGGATTTGTCCTTTAATTCATTAATTTAAGTTTCTGCTTCTATTATAGTTTAAGATAAGAATTAAGATGAAACAACTGGTTTTAAGAATATTTGCTCATTGGCCTAGCTTAGAATCAGGAAGCCACTTGAGCAATAAAAATGATTTTATCTATAAACATTTATTCACTCTGAAGAAAGTGCTGAGAGAATTAAGAGATTCCAAAGACCAAACTGCACTTTCATGTCCTCTAGCTTATGGTTGAAACACCCAGAATAAATTTTATCACTGCAGGTCTTTCATTGAGCTGCTGTGATATTAAGACACTGAGAAGGAATGATTAAATAGATCACCTTCTCTTTGACATGTTTTGTAGAATGGGAATGAGAGCTTCCTACTTATTCATTAATACAAACATTGAAGATGCTAAAAGAAATAGCATTTTATCTTGGAGATGCAATAAAAAACAAGGAATGGGATAAAACATTAAACAGAAGTGTCTATTTGCAATGTGCTAATTTCTAAACAAAACAAAAAGATCTTAACTAAAAGACACTTGTTTTTAACTAGCTTGGAGACTAGAATGTAAAAAGTTATTGTTCATTCACTTTTTTTCATTTATTCATTCATTCTACCAGTATATTTGAGTGCCTATTTTATATAAAGTACTTGTTAGGTACTCACTTGGCCCAAGAGACATGAAAAATGTATGCTTTCCCAGAGAAATTTTAAAAACTTTGCTTTTGGGTTGTTTTCGTTAGGGGTTGACTTAGCCCCTGAGTAACATTGTGTGGTTTAATTCCTACTCCATATTTCTCCTATCACTCTGGCCACTACAATAAGCAGGGTTTTCCACTGAGATAGCTCCTTAAGTTCCAGGAATCCTTTTTATAATAGACACTTCCTTTTCCTAGCTCATGAAAAATGATTGGCTACTGTTGAATAGAAGCAGGGATGACAACTAATTCCCAAACCACAGTGTCAATAATACCAGCCTTGGGGAGCCATGCATACTCAAGCCACAATTGGTTTTGAAACATTTAACAGTTTTGTCTATTTTCAATTCTTTATCCTTTACATTCTGACAAATATACACTGCCTAACTAGATCTGAGGAACAATCCCCAGATAGTACATAGCAAGACTGAAGATGGAGACATGATTTCTCTTTAACAACAGATTTTGACTTAAACTTTAGAAATCGCCTCTCAGTATCAAAACTGGGTCACGAAAGGACTTATATATGGTAGAATATGGTCAGTGAATGAAAGTGGCTTAACAATTTATCATGCTTAAATTTTAAGAGTAATAAAAATGAGAAATAATTGGCAAAAATTTGAGGGAAAAATACAAAAAATAAATAAATAAATAACCCAAACCTCTAAATCCAGGCCCCACTGGGCTTTGACCTTTTCTATTTTTAAATCACTCACAGAGGGTGGGATAGGAGGAAGAGTGAAAGAAAAGGTCAAACCTGTTTCTAAGGGCAGCCTGCCTTTTTTTGGATTGGTCTTATGAACTCCGGGTCTAACTTGAGGATTGCTTTGTCCTCATTCATTTCTTTGGCTGAATGATGATATTATCAATTAAGCCTTGGGTTTCATAATTATGTGATTTATCAATTAAATCAGTTTAGCCTCCATCATAAAGTAGTGTTAAATCGTTAAGTCTAAAGGCAAATTTCACTGTAAAAGAAGAGGACTTCATAGTTCACTGTAATTTATGATACTTTAAAAGCATATATACTTGAGTTTACATGGCAAGCCATTTATAACATGCATACATGGAGAAGAAAATGTGGAGGTAGCACATTTGAGAATTTGGGATGATTTTTCTGATTTTTGCTTTGTACATTTTAATTTTGACATCAGATACATCTGTAATGTTTGACTTTTAATATGTGGTATCAGCTGGACTCAGGAACACTCTTTTCTTCAGTTGGGGGTGGATTTTCATATTTGGAAAGTGCAAAGAAGAAAGTAGCTACAAGCCAGCCTTTTGTGGTTTCTGACATCCTGAGACTACCACTACTGATAAAACAAGAATAAGAGAACATGCTACCATCATCTGTTTTTTGTGGCATAAATAAAGTAGTAAACAAATCCATTTTTATAAGAATGTACTTATCTCCACCCTTCAACCTCAAAGGGAATATATGCCAAAATGCTCCATTAAATGAAAGAAATTCTTTGACTTGTGTACAGATGTGAAATGCAGAATCTCAGCCTTGGGTGGTTTGAAGATTGACAAATCTTGCTCAGCAAAGGTGATATCAAAAAGCAATCTAAAGCCATCACATAACAACTGAGATAAATTGGGGAGTATTTTTTCTAATGTCAAATAAAAGCTAATGTTTTGAAAACTTTGTATTTTGATGTGACAAGTTCTGCCTCATTGTCTCTTCACACATTATTTCCTTTTGTTTTTCCTTTTACTACTTTGGGTGATTAAATTTTTTGTGGTCTTATAATCAGACAAACAATGGGTCCATGCTGCCTGTCTACTCGAGCCAATGAAGCAGAGACAGGGTTGAAACATAATGAGCATTTAGTCCAAAACTGCTGGCACCAGCAGTACGGAGAGCAGCAGCTTAGCCACAGAAATCTGCTCTGCAGCTCACCATAAGTCAGTGGCTTATATAGCAAAAGCACAAATGAAAAGTAGACAAAAAGGCAGTTTACAGATGCAAAAGGACTAGGGGTCTTCAAAGGGCTTAGTGATATGCAAGGGATGGGGTTACATGGGCAAATAGCCAAAGGGAGTGCCGAATGGACAATTAACAGGTAAGCAGGTTTGCAAAGGACTGCAGGTATGCCAAAAGGGCTGGGGATCTTCAAAGGACTGGTATCTGTTTTCTGTAACAAATCTTTGTTAATCTTTTCATGATAATAGGCAGCTCCAAATGGGGGGAGGGGGGCAAGGGCTGCAACTCCAGATAAGCTCCAGCCTGGGTAGAAGTGCCTTCTCCATAAATAATGGTTAACAGAGCATGATTAATATTTCTTACAATCCTAGCTGGTCCCCCACATTCTATCTCATTTCCCCACTACTGTTTATCTCATTATGGATTTTTTATCAATTAAGAATTGTCAGTTGTGAAAAATCCACAGCTTTCTCTTTTTAGATAAAAAGAAAAAGTTTTTCATGATTCCTTATTGTTGCTAATTTCTAGCTTGTTAATTTGAAGTCAGTTCTTGTAAAAAAAAAAAAAAAGAATTGTCAGAAAGATTAAAATAGCATATTCCTTTAAATTCCTCACAATTATGGTTATGCCACAACAACAAATAATGTATTGCTACCTGATTCTCTAGAACTGCCTCACCTGGCTCAGCTCTTGATTTATCCCCTGTATAGCCCTGGAAGTGGCATTCAGGGCTTTTTCCATGCTATAAGCCAGCCAGGTCACTTCTATATGAAGAAAGCCTACCATTATCAGCATAACAAAAATGGTTAAAGTAATATATTCAGCAGGGCTCCAGAGGTGGAGATCATTGAAGTCCAGTGCCATGGGTGTGAGAAGGTCTCTTTTGGTTTGGGCCCTGTGATGTTTCTGAGACAAAAAGACAGTAATCCTAAGGAACAAGGCCCCCGGTGCTGTTGGCAGCAATATGAATAAACAGTACCCCACACATCAAAAACTAACTAGCCAGAAGCTTAGTATGTCCATTACTATAAGGGAGGGAGGAACTATGAGCACAATTTATATTTTAATTATTAGATACTTAAAGACAATAACTAGAACACCCAGTAAAAGTCAGACATCCACTACAAGTTACTGCAGCAACATTTAGAGAAAACATTCCTGCATCCTTTTCCCAGACAATGGGTCCCAATATATAAAGGTCCCCATTTGTGACTTTCCCCAAATGAATAGAATAATTCTATGTATTAGCAATATGTGTTCCAACTCCTACTAGGCAAGGTGTAAAGGTCCATCCTGCATATAGGTTCCTCCATTGCCAGCTTCAGAGCAGTTGAAGTGACAAGATACATGTCTCAGGATCCTGTCCATTTCTCCAGTTGGCCTATTGTCTTTACTCTGCTTATGTCTGTCTAACTGCCTACTGCATCCCCTCAAGGACCTTGGCTCTGAATTCTTTCATGGGAAAGAGACACAGAGTCTCTTCTGAAACTGCTTCCTGCTGAGGAGGGGCAAAGGTTTCTCTCAGAGCTAAGAGATCCTTGCTCTCTGTCAGAGGGACAATGAGGCCTGGGCACTGAAGGAGGTGGCAATGATGTCTGGAGGTGGTATTCTCTAAGTGCAAATAGGGCTGTAACCTGGTGTAGACACTGTGTTATAACAGTATTATTGGCCAAAAGTTAGAACAGCAAAAATTACAATAAATGGTCTGGTGAAAGGAAACCCCCCTGCCCGACACACATTTCAGTTCTAATAATCCCCCATTGAAACACAATTTCTCCCCCTAAAATTGCCCTTGTTTTCATTAAAGTGCCAAATTAAGGCCGATTTATTTACTGTATTAAGTCTATTTTCAATTTGGCCTGATCATTTGCATGAACACAATAAGAATAACAGTTGAGTACATAGGCCTTTAAATAGATAGAGATATAGGTATAAATATGCTTTCCTGGAATTTATGTTCCAACTTTAATTAGCCCCACAGGGCAAAGAAGCTGAGCCACTTACCTGCCATCAGGCTTGCCTGCAATAATACCTGTATACTTGGGTGAATTCCTCAAGTTCTTGAGGTCCCCAATGATGTCTTGAGGTTCCTTCCTTGCCAGCTTTCAGGAAAGTAACCTTCATTCATTCCCTGGAAAGACTGCTGTGAACCATGTGACCAAGCAAGGTACCAGGCTTTCTCCAAGGTGCTCTTATTGGGTTCATTCCTTAAAGCTTTCTGGTGACAACCAGAGTCCAGACATGTTACACATGACATTCCAAAGTCCTTAGTTAATAAAACCACAATTGGAAACTGGTCTTATTGAATTAATGCATAGGAATGCATTGCCATGACTCACTCATTAAGAATTGCCAAATTCTGTGGAGGAATCAGATGGGGAGAAAAATATAATTAACCAAGTTGCTTTAAAAATGCTTCCTTATATCTGAAAAACAAAAAGATTAAGGGTCAGCAATACTTTCCACAAAAGTTAAAAAATATATATATTACTAGAGGCCCATTGCACGAAGAGATTCGTACAATAGGCATTTCTTCCCCCTGGCTGTTGGCACCAGTTTTCCTCTGGCACCAGGGACCCAGGCCTTTGCTCTGGCCACAGTGGAGAAAGCAAGCCTCTTCAGTCTTCAGTCTTCGCTGGGGCTGGAGCCTTCAGTCTTCACTCCAGGCCTGTATATGCAAATTAACTGCCACTGTTGTTGGGTTAATTTGCATATCCATCCTGATTGGCCGGTGGGCTTAGCAGAGTGACACCAATTTGCATGTTTCTCTTTTATTAATGTAGATTAGTATATAGATTTTCAGTTCACTGAGTCCCATAGTCAAATTTTGTTTCTCCTGATTTTTCCTGTTAATACTTTTATAAATTCAGATACTTCCTAGAGTTGTAATAAATTTCATTCAATTCAGAGGAGATGATCTGAAAAGGTCAGAGTCCTTTCCATGGGTTCCTCTGAAAATGTACATCTTTCCAGATGCATTATAACAAAACAGCGACTGCCTCTAAATAACAAGAAATTTAAAATGGCATAGTTATGGATTTGATTATATTGCAAAAGACATGGAATCCTGTCCTTTCTGTAAAACACAGTATTCCACAATATTTTCACTAACAGTTATAACTGAAAGCATATCAAAATTTACTTATGATATGATATATAAATAGAACATAATTATTACTTCTTAATTTGACAAAGCTTCCCATGTACCTTAACTATAAAATGTCCTTTCATAAAGAGAGAAAACAAATCCTTGAGGCATTCCAGGGCCTATTGGAATGACCTAAAGCCATTTCTAGGTCAAAAAAAGTTTCTTAAAATTGAAATCCTGGGAAGATTGTTAAACTTATTTTACCAAAAGATTATATATCATCATCATTTTTATGAAACAATATGAGGCTATTTATTCATTCAAAATGACACAAACATAGGCTAGCAAAACTTTACTTCCCACAATTAAGAAGATCCCCTTTTTTTAAAAGTAATTAAGTACCTGATTGAAAAAACACTATATATATATATATATATATATATATATATATATATATATATATATATACACACCTGGCAGGGGAGATACCATGATCACGAAGGTGGTTTTCCCAGGGTGAGGCTTATCCATTGCACTCCGGATGTGCTGACCCCTGCGATTTCCCCAAATGTGGGAAACTCGACTGCATAATTTGTGGTAGTGGGGGAAAAAAAACAAACAAATAAAAAACACAATATATAATTATTTCAATACTTTATATAACTTTTGCTTCCTAGACAAATACAGGAAAAACTTTTCCCCTTTTAACAGACTGGAGAAAGACTAAACAAATTCTGTATTTGCTTACTTTAGATTCATTTATCTAATTAAATTTATTCAGATTACCTCTAATTTCTTTTTAAGATTTTTCTTCACAATCCTTCTATAACTTATATTATTAACTCTATAAATCTTATTATTAATTAGCTTTAGAACAACTTAATTTCCTTTCCCCTTCAAAACTGCATGTCTATACCTCATGTCTTCTACTACCAAAAACATGTAATTTATTTTCAATTAGTTAGAATTTTTTAACTCTTAGAAACCTTAAATTTTAGGTGATAAGAAATTACATAACATTTCTCAGATTAGCAATACACTCACATTTTTAAGAGATATATTTGAAATAAAATACAAGAGTGATTCATTAATAGATTCAAATCTATCTTCTTGATTCTCTATAATGAAAATCCTAAAGTATGCAAACTCAGATTAATTAATATTTGAGTATCCTGTTATTTCAAAATACCTAGATATTTAACTTTTATTATTTAACCCAGCAAACTCCAAAGTTTTAAGTTACCAAAAACTTTGAAAAACTGTTTAGGCATATATAATTATCACTGAAAAGCTTTATCATAAACCCTTCATTTTAGTTACATCTATTTATTATGTCTTAACAACTTTGAGATACTAGAGCCAATTATTAATACCCAAGGCATTTTCTTGGTAAATTTTGTGACAGCATGAAATCTTGCATATGAGCAGAGATCTTAAAAACAGAAAACAAATAAGCAAACAAAAATTCTACAGTAAATAAATATGTACTCTTGAAAGGATGGACTGCGTTAGTCTTAGAGAATCTTATCTCACATTAACTCATCACAGCAAAATGACCTTTGGGTCTGAGTGGCACAAAGCCCACACAGCAGAGACAGAGGATTCCCTATGTTCATAAACTGGCAAAGAACAT